ACATCGACAAGAGATCAAAGACTCAAGAATTCCCTTACGAGTACTTGCATCCTGCCGTATTGGAAAACAGCATCACCATCTGAGACAAGGTGCATGATGTATAAAAACAGACCACACAAGAATAGAGTTCTGTAGAGGGGGACACCAACTTTAATAGGATCTAATATTGCAACTGAGAGTCATTTCATGTGGTTAAAATAATATATCTATTATGGATATTTACTGTAGTTTTGGATTTATTGTAAATCCAAACTTAATGGGAAGAAATCTATTTTGTTTTTGTTTAAATTTGGTTTTAGTATTGCAGTTTTTTTTTAATTGTTCTGATGGTGGATGTTACTTTTGTAATAACATTTTATGTTCTTATATTGTAAAATACGGGAGATACGTGTGATTATTTTTGTTATAGTCTGGAAAACTCAGGGACTGGGGACACTTTTCATCTCACATGTTGTTTTCTAAAGTTGTGTTGTACATCAGTAATGGTGATATTTATTTGCTCACCATTCCATTCTGCCATGTTTACAGCTTGTGCAGCACACAAATGCTGATGAAAAAAAGGAAATGTGGAAACAAAATCAAATATAACCCGTGTGAGCCACTGTGCACTGGCTTCCAGTTTGCTACAGAGATTTTAAAGATGTTGCTAAAAGTTAAACCTCTAAATGAATTGACAAGTGGCTATTTCACTGAGATTTAATTTATTTTATCATGTACACTGAGGGAAATTGATGTTGGTCTTTTCTGCATTCATGGACCAAATATCAATGAGATACAAGAAGCTGTATAGTGATAATGCCCTATATTATAATACTCTCTCACTTTTATTAGAAATACACTTTCATTTGAAGTTTTAAGAATTTATTATTAAATATGGGAATATGTGTTTGATTTGGATGTTAATAAACACTCAATCGCTTATTTTAATAAATTAGTCTTTTAAATACAATTTATTGCATGCTTAATTTCTATTATAATACTAACAGTAGCTTCTGCTTTCCAGTTCAATAATGAGCAACAAAGGGAATTAATTACACTATGCATACATGTTTTCAGAGAAATAATTAGTATCTTGGATATTGATTAAATGTCATTTTGATTGACTGATGATTCATGACTGATTGTGATACACTTGAGTGATTCTGACTGTTGCATAAACACTAAATCTCTTTGTTAGTGAGAACTGATCTGGAACAGGTCTCACTGACAAACAGGTCATTTAATCTGTTGCATGTCCAATCTGGTGAAAGTGAAGAAAGAAGAACTCTGCATTTCAACTGACCAGCCAGCAGTGCAACCAAATCATGTTTAGCAATTAAACAAGGTTATGTGAGACCAGATGGACATCTGAAGATGTGGTACAGATGGTCACCAGTAACCAAGTGAAAATGTTCAATTCAGAAATGTAATTTAAATTGCAGTTCTGCTTTCTGAGAACAATATATTTCATAGACATATGGCAAATCATCAGGAAAGTAAAAATGAACAAATATTGTATGACATTGATCTCGTTATATCCCACAAACCCAGTAGTGGGCATCTCAGCTTTGAGGGGAAATGTGATATTCTAATGTCCATTGAGTACTAGGTTGTACATTATGGTCACACACCCACTGGAGAACTGCTAAGGCCAGAGGTCTCCAGTTCTGGTTCTCATTTGTGCAGCAGGTTTTATATGTCTCTCAGAATCTGCACCTTAGAACAATTGTTTCACCTTGTTCAATTCAGCAACTAATGAGCTTAACCATGTACTTAAGGAACACAAAATCTTCTGTCCATAACTTCTTTATGGAGTCACCTGTAGTTTATACAGTTCTTTGGAGTCACCTGTAGGCAACATATAGAAATGTTCTTTCTTGAAATGAAATATGTGATTAGTTTCCTATGAATGTATACAACTGTGAATGATACTGTATCACATGCTCCCAAAATTAGTGCTTTTCCTTCTGCACAAGTCCGATTTTTTTCCCATTTCATCTGTTCCACCTGAATGGAAGTCTGGAATTCACTGATTAGGGCTGCGTTGATGTCAATCAGCAATAGCATTTCAAGAGCTGAAAGTACTGCCTAAATGTGGGCAACAAAATGAAAACTGAAACCAATTAGTCAGTGATTAAGAACTCGGCAGAAGTTCTAGAGGACTAAAAGGGGGACAAACTAGAGTCCTCAGAACCCTGATTCAGAGCGCTTGTTAATGGGGCGTCGGCGTGAAATTGCTTCGACCAGCTACTGAGGTCATGTATCACGACAGCAGTTCTTAACTCAAACCCTAACATGGAAGGATCTTAATTCTAGGAAAGATAAGCATGGTTATATTTCGTTGTTATTGTGAATTAATGAGACTTTCTACATTTTCAAATTATTTCGTTAAACTTTTAAAATGAGTGCGAAGGAACAAGTAAAGGTTTATTCCATGCTGAAAAGACAAGAAAAACAACTTTTCGGCATTAGAGCCTTCTTCGGGTGTCAAAAAAACAGCAACAGTTAAAGGGTGTCTTTAAAAAAAAGAGTAACACATCTCTGTGATCGCTTTTAAATTAGGAAAAAGTCGGAATGAGAGATCGTACGACAGTTTTAATCTTAAACCTTTTTATTTGTATAAAATTATATAAAAAAGTTTTGATTTTATCTAAGTTATGATGACTATTGATACAAATGCGTTGCTAGTTGTTCTCATAATGAATTTAAACGTTATTATTGTGAACTTAACCAAACGGTTTTTATACTTTGAACCGATAAGAAATGCCGCCTTTTCTCTGTGTTCGCTCCCATTTTCTTATCTAAGAAGTTCAGTTCAACTTAACCTGCTCCAGAGTCAACAGTCTCAAACTCGGCCACTGTCAAGTACTTTGGCTTCCCACGTTACCGCGGAGACAGTTACTATGGTGACTCAAGCGTATTTTTGTTTTCTTCAGCTTCTGTTAGCGCGCCTTTCCAGCACCAATGTCATTGGTCCCCAGGAAACATGGAGGAGACATCCCGTACCCCGCCCCATCCAGCGTGGCCTGTGACTTGACACCGCGGCTGCCAATCATGGTTCGATGCTCCGGTTGCCAAGTGGCAGAAGCTCCACTTTTTGTATGTGTGTGTGTTTGGGGGGGGACACTATCTTATTGGCCCGTTAAATAAAGGTTTTGATTGGCCCCGTTTCTAAGTGGAGACTTCGGCTTCTGGTTGTTTTTACTTCTCAAGGAGCTGATTGGCGGGGTGGGCGTGGTGGCCGCGAGAAAGCAGTCGCGCGCCGGGCGGGTTGTCAGGGTCCGAGAGTGCGGCGGGGCGAAGCTCAAGACATCAGACCTGAGATTTAGGCAGTTTGGGAAGGAAGGAAACGTTTTCATTACAATACGAGTGTGTGTACGTGTAACGGTGAGAGATGGTAACGAAGAGTAAGCATTCCTAAACGACATCACCCGAATGTGCGAGTTACAGGAGGTGAGTTAAAAACTTTTCTTTTTCCATCTTGAGAGGTTGTTTACATTAGGTAAATTATGAATTATGATGTTTTGTTTATGACGTTAAATACTCAGAAATGGTGTATCTTATGTGGTCCACTGTTGCCAGTTTTTCCTTTAAGGTGACTTATGATTTTCGGTAAAATCGTGTATGAATTTTGAGGTATTCTTAAGGTTAAATTCGTTGGTCGCCAAGTTTACATGTTGGATAAAGCCAAAGGATGTTATAACCGTAAGCTGGCTACCTAGGTTGCACCGCACCACAAAAGACGGTCAAGTTTACCCTGAAGCTAGAATCAAGTACTGTTCGTCTAGTATTAATCCGCTTCAATTGTGTTGTCTTTCTACTGAATTAAATATATGTCATATAAAGACACCCACGTTTGTAACAAGTGGAGGCCTTTTATTTTGATCTGAGCGACTATTACTTTTTTTTTACCTCCATTTGGTCATCACTTCATTTCCTGAAAATTGTCATCATTGTGACCAGGATTATTCGATTTAAATTATTTTATACGCGGGGTTTGAAAACGGTCCAAAATAGATTCTGTAGATAATCCCAAATGCAGTGGAAAACAACTTCCCAATACACTGAAGGGCTGCCCGGTCCTGGAGGACTGGTATCTTTGTGTATGTCTCCTTTTTTTTTTAATCACCAGCACTTTAAACTATTAAATTGCTCAATGAGCTCCTTTAGAAAAACTAGCAGACACCTGCTTTCCTCGGCCCAGCTTGGACACACTTGCGCAAGAATGGCATTGAACTACAGTCATTTGTTTGACAAACGGCAATAAAAGATATGAAGTTACGCTACAATAGGGGGGAGACAAATCATTCCCCAACTTTTTTTTTCAAATTTAGGAATTTTCTTATAACACCTGTCTGTCGAAATTTTTTTTAATCATATGCTGAGAGTATCAATTGTCCACAGAATCATCGGTTTGAGTTTGTCCCCCCCTAAATGCTGCTTGGTTTTGCTCGCGTCATTTGTCGAGAAAAAGAAGTTTTCCCCAACCTCGAAAAACTTACGCAGGCTGCAAAAGAAACGATTTCCAGAAACCAGCCCCTCGCAGGGCTCTGTGAGCTTGTCGGTAAGAGGAAGGAGACGGTGAGGGGGAGCTGGGGGTCCGGGGGGACGCGCTGCCTCGGCCCTTCCCGGCTGTGCGCCTCTGCGGCGGCGGTCGCGAGGAGCTGCGCGCGCACGCCTTGCCCTGCCGGAGCCGCGGGCCGCGAGACTCCCTTCTCCGCTCTGCAGAGGATCCGGCTGGTGCCAATGGCGGCTTGTCCGGCCCAGTCCGCTGAGCGCTGGGAGAGCCGCCGTCGCCTCTGAGCGCTACCAGCTGCACCGCCATTAAAGCAGCGTAAGTGACCGGTGGGGACGCGTCCGCGTTTAACGCTGGGGTAGGATGTCACGGCGAGGAATTCTAGTTCTTTGCAGAACTAAACCGTGCAGCTCAAATGTCAATAACCGGATCAACATTAGAGCCCTTCTTTGCACAACCGACATTTACTATTTGTGTGGTGGCGAAACGTGCCTTTACGAGTGCCTGGCTCATCACTGTGCACAATATTGTATTCAGTTACCGCTGCACCAAGGATGTTGTAAAGATGCGATTGAAATGGCTCTCTGCCACATGACTTGTTTTGCTCCCTAGTTCTTTGCCTGCAACTCGATTAGGCGTGGACGGCTTTGCAGTGCATCGATTTTAAGGCAACTAGCGATGTTCAGCCCACGAAAAGTTCTTTGTAACGAAGAACGCGTACCGTGTTGCAGGTATGTACCGAGTACATTATTGGCAGATGAAAGACCTGTTTTCCGAAGTATGCAACTTGTTGTTCATTGGTAGTTCACTCGATAATCTGTTTTCCGAATGTGAATCTATTTCTGCCTAATTTGGGATTTTCAGCGTTTGACGTGTGTATCTCTCCTGAGGTGGTTTTCTATCTGGTAAGGTACGGGTCAACATTTAATTACTCAGCGACAAGGTTAATAAAATAAAACGAATCCCCCCCCCAGAACATCTAACCTGTTGGACAAATTTAGAAACAGGCGAAGTGACGGCGATCTTGATGGATACTGTGTGGTTAAAACTGTTCACCAAGATGAAGCTGAAGTCTTTAATTACCTACACGCGGTATAAAACATTATTAATGCATGTGTGGGCAGAAAGCACGGCTGTGTGAAACTGTAAAGGTTCCGCTGGAGTTCATGGAAAGTAAGTTTGGCAGAGAGCTGGAGCTTGCACTAAATCTGTTCTGGAGCTGCTGCCGAATCGCAACTTTCTGATCCACGGTGCCTTCCGACATTTTCCACCGGCCTAGAAGTGTAAATTGATCCACAGACCTCATATTTGGTTCAAATAGCAGCAACAGCGGAGAGCTAAAACATGCCCTTCAAGACGTTAGAGAAAGAAACGATCGGTATGGTTCGCCAAAAGTTTAAAAAAATAACATGTACAGATCCAAACCGTTCTTTAATTAAAATAATTTTCATGCGCCACACTTTCCCCTCCAGTAATGCGAGCAGAGGATCATAAAATCGGTTTTGAGAGTGGTGAGCTGAAGCACTGACTGATTTAAAAAAAAAATACTTTGCTTAACTACTGCACCAGGTAAATCTCAAGTGCAACTATTGCCTGCTGGAATCGGTCACCAGCGACGTCTTAGAAATCCTCTCAATTGCAAAGAAATCCAAGCAATAGCTGTTGCTACTGCTTCCCTCTAGAGGACACTAGTCAGACGCGTTCTCGAATTTGTGTACTGGTCCTTGGATCATTTGACTATTAACTACATAACAGGCCAGATGGGCTGAATGACTTCTTGTAGCTGATGACTTATTTCAAATGGCAAAGGGTCTTTCTGTGTGGCTCCTGTCTTTTTTCATGACTGCTGTTGTGAATACAAGCCTTTCTCGAGACTCGATGCCGGTTGGCTGTTGTCAAATGTTCATGTTTCGTGTGTAGTACCATTACAACTGACCCCAAGATTGCACAACATAGTAGTATGACCACGCACCCTTTGACAATTGATAAAGCTACACCTGTGCATATTGATGTAAATTAGATTCTTCCCTTGACTGAAAGCGACTGGGATTGTGAGTACAGTCAATGGCTACATACTAGTAGCATTTGTTGTTGGTACTAGTGTAGTATGTACAGTATATTGCACATTTATTGAAGAAAAGTACATAAAATGTCACCATGCAGGTTCTGTCCTGTGCTAAAATAGTTAAGGTGATTGCCCACCCCTGAGTTTAGCATAATTGGTTAATCTTATTAAAATAAATTGTCACTGATTTGATGGCAAATTAATGGGTTAATTTGATTGTAAAAGGCCAGATCATGCAAAAACCACAACTAATTTAGAATGAAAAAACACTTTTTTTCCCACTTGATTAAGCTTAAATGTAATTCACGGCCAGTATGTTTATCAGGTTTGTGTGATTGGATCATGTTGAAATGTTGCAAATACCACACAGTGTAAAAGAAACCGTTATAGTAAATCAGCACTTGCTTCTCAAAGTTAAGGTATTAGTCAGTGCATTTGTGCGAGGCACAGGTTATTTTAAAAGTCCGTGTACAGTGGTGTTTAAATCTTATGCGTGGTGTTAGTAGACTTCTGTAATAAATTGGCATGTATTCCCAGCGCAATTAAAACATTTTCCCCATTATGCCATTTACTGTGTCATGTGCAGGTAAAATGTTTAAAATAGGCAAAGACTTGGTTTGGATTTTAGTGATGTGGTTTGCTCCTGGCGCTCTGATATAGTCCGGTTGGAGGAAAAAAAATAATTTCATCTAGCAATAAACATGTTTTAACAGGTTTGCATCTATTTTAAGTGATCCCTCCCTGTCTCAAAGATCTGGAAGGAGAAAGAAGTGGTAATACTGAGAACACGTTTCAGGAGAGAAGTGGTGATTAGGGCAATCCTAGATGAGGGTGTGCCAGCTCAGTTCCTGGAAAGCCTTGCTTTGTGCCTTCTGGTTTTTGTTTCAGCCTGAATAGTCAATTGAATCTAATTATTTTCTAAATTAAACAGGATTTTTCTTTTCTTTCTTAGGCCTTTTCTGGTTGATTAAACAAGGCATTCACTTTATTCCAGGTGCAGGTACCTATGAATACTCTTGAAGCCTGGTTAGAAGCATAGCAGCTAATTGAATAATTAAACCTACTGTGTAACTGAGAACATGGGGGAAAACGCCAGAACTGAGTCTGCGATCTCGGATATTTGTTTTGCTTATGTTACTTCAGTGTTGGAGAGGTGGAGTATACTGAAGAATGTGTGGGTAATTGTGACAAACTGGCTTCAGCCAACATAAAACCAAAGATACCCATGCAAGATTTCTTTATTTGCCATATACAAAAAGTGTATTGGAATGCTTACTCGTTCAGGGATATCCAGTAGCATTAGAGAAAAAATATATATCACAAATGACAGACAGACATGGACGATAAATTTAGACAATAGACGTTATAATACAGCCAAGACAGCACATAGTGCAAACAGCACAGTACCAGTACAGGTGCTAATATGTGCATCATACACAGTATGATGTAACCACATGCTTTTAATATTTTTGGTCCTCCTCATGATTTGTGATCATCAAGCCTTCTGTATGCATCTCTTGCAAACCTTGTTCCATACAGGCTATGAAAAACGTTCTGAAACCGATTCTATTTGCTATTTGTGTAATGAGACAAGTGTGAAGCCTCTCTCCTCCAGCTCACTGCGTGCTGCAGTGCTTTTCCCTCTCCTGTCAGGCAGCAACGTCGGGTCACAGCCTGCTTTGTATCCGAGTCAACTTTAGATAAGTTACAAGGCGTTTGTTTTACAGTACTTGTTTCCTTGAGCCAGGCATACTGTATCTCACTTGTGGAAACACCTCCTCGCATGTCTGGTATTAAAGAGAGTGGAAGAAGCTGTAGTTTGTTGGGGTCAGATTTGGAAACCAGTTCAGAAGTACAAAGAGCTTTGCAGGCTTTGGTAGGCTGATCTTATTTTGCCTCTATGCAAGTTCGTTTTCTTAAGATACGTATATAAGACCATCTTTTTGTCTGGTTGTATAGACATATTGGGTGGCACAAAGAACGTGCTGCCTTGCAGGTTCTCCCTGTGTGCGGGGGGGGGGGGTTCTTCAGGTGCTCTGGTTGTCTCCTGCTGTCCAAAGATGGGCTGTGGTTCTCCTGCAACCCTCAACTGGGAGAAGTGGACAGGAAGTGGATGAAAGTATAGACTTATCTCTTCAAACTGCCCTACCTAATTATTATAGAACATCTTTACCAGCTTGTCAGTCCTCCTCCACAATTAGAGCATCAGTTTCATTACATTCTCCTAGATATAATAATAATATCCTGACACAAATATATATATATAGGGCTGGGTGATATGACCGCAAGTCAACATCACGATAATTTCACACATTCACCTTGGTATGATAAATTAATGATAATTGTTTTTGAAACCCTTGAAATGATATGATTACATGATATGCTGAAAGACCATGTTTTAAATAGGCAAAACTATAAAAGCTGCACAAACCTCATCTTATCTCAGTGTCTTACAAATAATGTAGTATGTAATGGCATTAGTTATCTCGTTCCATCTGCGTGAACCTTTTGTATATCGAGTGGCATTAGTAAATGCTTGCGTTCGAGACAGCTGTTTGGGGGAATCACTTCAGCCATAAATGTGCTTGTCAGTCTTTTTTTTTTTTTTTGGCCATGTACTCTTCGTATTCCACAACATGGTTGTGTTTCAAGTGACGGGACAAGTTGCTTGTGTTACGTTTGGGCGCAGAAATGAAGGTTGGACGAAGCAGAAGCATGCGACTGAATATAACAACTGGGTGCTGCCCTTTTTTTTTTTTTTTTAAGGGGACCGTTCATGAAAACACACAGTGGGGAAAGCTTTTACTGAGCATACTGACATAAGCAAAGTAAGGCCGTTGGGAGATTCTTAATGTCGGTTCTAATGTCGCCTAGCCCTACACGTATATAATGCTTTTTTTAATGGGTGGTCCCCTCCACCATCACCAATGTGTAGCTCCCATATGGATGATGTGGCAGCCAAAGTGCGCACAATACTCTCACCATGCATCAGCTATCAGTGGGGAGGAGAAGAGTAATGAAGCCAGTTCATAGATGGGAATTATTTGGCCAGGACACTGGGGTTACACCACTACTCTTTTTGAGAAACACCCTGGTATTTTTAATGACCACGGAGAGTCAGGACCTTGGCTTTATGTCTCATCCGAACTATGGTGCCCTTTTTACAGTGTAGTGTCACCAGCACTATACTGGAGGATTGGTACTCTCAGACTGCAGGGTGAGTGCCCCCTACTGGTCCCTCTCACCTTTTCCAGCAGCAACCTTTGTTTTTCCCAGGAGGTCTCCCATCCAGGTACTGACCAGGCTCACACCTGCTGAACTTCACTGGGTTGCCAGTTGTGAGTTGCATGGTTATATAGCTGCTGGCTCATGTGATTCTCCGAAGACATGAAAAATACATTCTGGCACCTTGATTTATTATTATTATTTTTTTATTCAGCAGTCATGGCCTGTGATTCCTTGAAGCTGGCTGAGCTGATAGTTTCAGCAAGCCTGCAGTTTCCTTCGGAGAAAGTCATGCCTCGTACACCAAAGAAAACTTCTGTTCTGCTCTTGCTTACAGTTTATGGGCCATACCACATGGCAGACTGTTCCCACTGAGTTGTGACGGGTGCAGAAATATTAAGACAAATTTAAGAAGTACAAAAGCTTTGTGACCTGGGATTTCAATGGACACTCCTGCTGTGCTGTGTCCAGTGTCCTAACTGATGCTTCATGCTGCTGCTACTTGTGTGCAACAGACCAATTGGTCTTGCTGGACAGAATTGTCTGGTCACTTCAGAACTCCACTTGATTGACAACTGCATAATGCAACAATGATCAAGTCCTAGCAAGCAAAATATTTACACTGGACTTTATATTTAAGAATGGGTCACAAAGACCCTCTTTTAAGCAGGTGTGTATCAAGCCAGTGGTTGAGGGACACTGAGATCTGAATTCCTGTGTTTTGGACATTTTGTTTTGTTCTTAATGACTAAAATGTTGATCATCCTTTTAGGCTGAAGCTTTCTTGAAGAATCTGGAATCTTATGAATACTGCAATGGTACAAACTGTGAGTCCATATCTTGCAGTATTCAGGAGACGATGGCCAACCATTACAAGTCACAGGTAATCTGCTCTTACCCTTAATGTTTGGAGATTTGTTGTTCTCTAAATGCAAAGAGGTTTCTAGAAATCATAGAATTTGTGTAGGACCTCTGGTTTAACGTGTGTACGATATATTTTATAAATTCAATTAAGAGCATAATCATATTGTGATTGGCAAACAAATGTCTTCATCCGTCATGATAATATGAAAGCTGAACATCGCCTCAACCTTTCCTATCAAAATGGTCTGAAGTTTCAGATGTACAGTAGCATAGTTTAAAAACATTCAGATGTTAAGCCACATTAAAATTTTAATGTATAAAAACAGTTAAAGGAAAATCATCACTTAGAAATGAGAACTGAGTAATGGAATGGGCTGTGTGTAATGTTAAGCTACCTTTACTTGTAGATCATAGCAAGTGTTTTCACAGCCTGGTGAATGGTGAGCCTGTGGGCAAAATCTATTAGTATGTTACAGAATACCTTGGTGTCAAAGATTTTAACCTGTACAGTTTGAAGAATTAAGATTTTCAGATTAAGTGCTAACAGAAAATGGAGATTGTCTATGCATTGCACTCATGTTTTCACAGTGAATTCAAGTTAGAATGAGTTTTTTTTTTCTAATGAACCACCTCCATTGATCAATGGGTGAGGATGTACATCTCTACCTTGAGCTAGAATTAAAACTGAAGATTTTTTTTCCTCTCAAGAAAAAGCTCTTATCCCACTCTACATCGGTTGAGATTTAGTTTGTGGTTATTATTCCCAGAGTTTAAAACTGTATTGACCAGTTATTTAGGTTTCAATGCTGTTTTTGTACGTACTGTAGCTAAAGATCAACTTGAAAAAGGATAAAATGGACACACAGGTGCTGCCCCCTGCCTCCCTCAGCTGCATTAATAACGCAGCACTGGACCCAGCGCTGCTCTACAACAGCTGGTCTATGTTCACCGATGATGGCACTCCCTCAGCTGCCTTTCAGGACAGCATTCTGCCCAGGTAATGAATTGTAACAGTTGTATACCTTTTTGAGGAAATACATTAATTTGCACTCATGAATATTGGAGAAAAGCACAGAGTTGGGGGGGAGGAACTCTTCCCATTACAATGAAGTGCAGTCAGAACAGGTCTTACGGAGAACTTTCTCACTCCTTTTGTGAAACAAATCTATAATTATTCCTTCTAGACATTCATTAAATATTCTGGTACTCTCTGTTGACATGATTAGTCTTTAGATATGAATGGTGTTGATTAAAAAAAAAAGGTATTTAGTGATATACTAGTGAAGTTTTTGTAAATTATGTTTGGGTAGATGCATTTTCTCACTATGGGATTTGTTTTATTTGTTCAGTTGCATATGACCTCATCAGACCTTTTCTTAAAGAACAATTAACAAAGGCAGCACAGTGGTAACACGAGTGGGTTTAGTTGTGTAATGTTATTGTGTGACTGACTGATTAGTGTTGTGTTCTGTAGACCCCAGGTTAACCTCTCATACTCTGGAAATGGCCCGGATTTATTTGGAATGGTCTCAAGTATCTTGGAAGAACCAAATGGATCAGAACACCTTCAAGACTGGTAAATTGTACAGAACATTTTTCCAAGCCCTTTTTCCCAATGAAATTCCCAGTGCTCAGGTTTACGAATTAAAAACAAAAAATCCAAAACTTTTATTTTTTGAAAAATCAGTCCTGTGAATGGGTCGGATTTGGACCGTTTTGTTATATCCTGTTGACACTGGCGCACTTCAGCCAAGCTAAGTCAAAACCTTGCTGAGCCAACCCAGTACAACTTCATGTTTTGCACACTGTTCAAAACTACAATTTAATAATTGTATAACAGCTTTTTGCAAGAAGTAATAACCTCACCAATTACAGGGGAAATTTTAGATAGGCCGGGTTGGAGCAGAACGTTTGGAACGTTAAGAGATACTTCAGCTGTAGTTGATGTACAATTGCTCGTTATTGTTGCTATACACACCTGGTTAGGAATGGATGACTCGAATTTGGCTGTCATATTTCACATGGGGGCAAAAGAAGAAATCTCCACTGACCCTCCCACCTTTAAGCCATTAGTCTTTGAATACACTATAGACAAAACCACCCCATGCTGGAGTTTCTGTTTCTATCGGTGGAGAGGTGTGTTCCTCAGCAAACACTACATGCTTGCAAGGCTTTCACCTGTATGAATCTATGAATTAGCTTCATTACTATGGCTGCCGTCGCATCATCCAGGTGGATGCTGCACATTGGTGGTGGTGGAGGGGAGTCCCCATTACCTGTAAAGCGCTTTGAGTGGAGTGTCCAGAAAAGCGCTATATAAGTGTAAGCAACTATTATATAGATGAGGGGTGAATGCTGAAATGGAGGGTGATCAATACCTGAACCACTGCTATTCTCAATTTCATTACAATAATACTCCAGTGTAAGACTTAACAGATAAGTCAGTTATTCCCTTAAGAATTAGACAGGGCGGGTTAGGTCCTGGGACTCGGTTATGCAATCTACATTATTTTTTACATATGCGAGAATGTACAGGTTCATCTTTTAAATTCTAAGATTGGAGCTTGGCGTTTCTTTATTAAGTGTGGCAATTTGTCCATAATTTTAAAATAAACTAGATAAAATCCAATTTTGCTGTCTTAACAGCAAGTGAGTCTTTCTTCTGTTGAAAATTGTCCACAAGCATATTTCTTACCTCCTATTATTCCAGTTCAGTAGAACATGATGTTTGAGTTTCTATATGTTCAAAGATGGTATATAATGCAGAGAAAAATTCAAGGTCATTGTCAACATTTTTTTTTCTTCATATTTCAGTTGTTCATGCATTTCATGATCGAACGAAGAAACATTGTTTTATGTCTTCTCTTAAGTATTCTGTGACATACTGAAAAACATGTGCATGTTAGCCCTGCACCCAGCTTTGCTCAACCCTGAGCCAGTAGCAGGTAACGTGTAAAGCCAAGGTCTCAAGTTTTGGTTCTGATTGGACTTCACAAAATGAGCAGTGTGAAATGATTTGTACTGTGAGAGCTCAGCTAAGCTGTGCCTGTATGACAAGGCTATTAGAAATACAAAATATCTCCAAGTACAATTTCGATCTCTTCTGATGTGCTAATTAAAAAAACTAAAGTTGCTGCTGGAAGAGGTGCTGGTGGGGCCAGTAGGGGGTGCTCACCCTGCAGTTTGTGTGGGTCCTTATGCCCCAGTATAATGACGGAGACACTATTTTGTGACGTAAAACCGAGGCCCTTAAAAATCCCTGGGCATTTCTCAAAAAGAGTAAGGGTGTTACCCTGGCGTCCTGGCCAAATTTCCCATTGGCCTTTACATATCATGCCATGGCCTCCTAATGAAGCCAATTCATAGATGGGGATTATCACTCTGTTCTCCTCCCCACTGATAGCTGGTGTGTGGTGAGTGTTCTGATGCACTATGGCTGCCATCACATCATCCAAATGGGTGCTGCACATTGGTGGTGGTGGAGGAGGGGAGTCCTCATTAGCTGTAAAGACCTTTAAGTGGAGTGTTCAGAAAAGCTCTATATTATAAGGAATTAATTTTAAAAAATAGACTATTAACCAGTGTCCTGTGACGGTTTATATGATTCTTGGCCCAGCTATATGGTCCAAAAATATAATTCTCTTAAACATGCAGTTACCACGGGACAATACATGTGTAAACTAAATATTCAAAATTGTTTTTATTTAGGAGTTCATCTTCCAGGTTTTTTCCATCGTTTCCGGCAGACAGCAGTAGCTGTATTGACCATCCAGAGAAGAGCATGCTGGAACAGAATGGATCTAGTGATATGAACAACTCCTATCAAGACACTTTCCTTAAGTTAAATGAAAATCAGATGGAAAGCCTTTATCCAGGATTCCAGGGCCTCAACCTTGGAGACTTCTGGATTTCACGTGACAAAAAGGATCCTGACATTACGAGCCATCCATCCGCTTATTTAACGAAGAGGTCTTATGCTGAGGATCCCATGTACAATAGCAATGCTTTTGTGCACAGGGAAGACTTTGTCTCTCGCAAGAAGCAGTCTGAGCCTTTCATGCGGGAAAGCAATAAAGAGATCCTGAACAGGGGCTTTGAGAAAGGACTTCGGGATTTTGGCATGTACGCGTTTCACAACCGCAGCAACAGTAACAACACAGTAATACAGAGGGAGTTCAAAATGGAGCAAAGGCAAGACAAGTTTTCCAAGCAAGTGGGCCAAATGGAGCAAGCAAGCTTTCCCACTGATCGGAATAGCCCGCAGCCTGAAGGCGGTTGGGCACTGGACTCTCAGCCGAGGACAAATTCAATGAAGGGATACGAGGATCACAATGGGCCCTTGTCTCAGATGACTTTCCCCCCCTCTCAGAATTACTTCGCTGAGCAGCCCATGAAAGTGAATGGGAGCAGGAGCTGGAAGCCGCGTCCTGATTTGAACCTGAATGTTCAGGATGGCTACCCTCTGAACAGGAAGCCCCTCAGTCAGGGCCTGTTTAACTCCCTGGATTATCCTTCTCCTTTTAGCCAAGCCATGAATGCTGCGTTCCACAATGAGGACCCCCCTCACTCTGCAAAGAGTGGTCCCTTGAGGGCCGAGGGAGATGTGCTGAGCCCGTGTGGGAAGCACAGCCTGCGGTACGCGAGGGAGAAAGGTACAGGCAGAAACTCCCAAGTGTCCAGCCTGTCAAGCGAGAGCTGTCCCATCCAGCTCCCTCTTGGCTCCAACCACCAGCTTCCCAGCTCCTCCCCACCATCGCTGGATCAGAGGGGCAGGAAGGGTGAAAACCACTCGGGTCTTTGGCGTGGCTGTACAGTTAATGAAAACATGATGCACAACCAGTTTGGCAGCTATCCTAGACTGGATGCAGCAGCAACCAAAGAGCACCATAATGGCCAGTCTGATGATTGGAGGCCTACCTCCCAGTCATCCACAGGGGAGGAGGCTGGGAAATACTACCGCTTCTGCAACAGGCAAGAACAGGACACCCATGATCGAAAGGGTGTCAATAAAAACAACTGCTTCCCTCAGCCCAATGCTTTTGAAACCTCTAAACCCCACCAGTACAATAATTACCGCAGAAAACCAGACCAAGGTGCTGGCAGCGTCTCGGACGTCAACTCTCCTATTGTACTGCCTTTTCCATTGCTGATGCCAGACCTTAAACAAAACCCTAACTTCTCCCAACTCTGCCACCATGCTGGCAGTGGCAATGGTGCTGGGTTCCCTTTCCCTTCCTCTGGATTTCCTTTCCCTCACCTCATGGATCGGCTCCGTTTGGAAGATCTCAATCATCTGAGCCCCTTCATCAGCGAGCTGTTCTGTGGAGATGTGCCTCTTCCTTATTTCCCTCCCTTCAACAAGTACCGGCCCATGAGGAACCGCAGCGGCCCCACCAGTGAGCTCCATGTGCAGCTGGAAGTGTGCTATGACCAGTGGAGATCCCTGGAGAAGGAGAGGAAGAAGGTAAATTAGCTAGTGTTTTTGTAGAACACTAGAGATTACTAGTGCAATAGTGCCATTTGGCCTATGGTTACTTGTATGAACATCTGTAGATTTGGGCCAAAAACTGCACTATGTTTCCTGATGTTAGTGTTTCAGCAATTTAAACTTGATTTGAGAATTAGGTTTTTGCTCATGTCATAAATTTCTGTCCATCCATTAGAATCTGTATTTCATTATAAAGGATATTTTCTTCACATAAAATAATTCACATTTACATAAAGCAGAATAAGTGCAATGGATGGTATTTGGTTGCTTGTAACTTCACTTTTGAGTTTTGTGCTAATTGTAAACTTTGTTTAGCTTCTATCGGTGTATACATAGGTTCTTTAAACTACAAAATCATGCTGCCAGCCACAACACTTTTATATTCCCAAGGAAAACGCTCACTGTGCTAAGGTTTGGAATTCTTAAAAGCTGTTAGGTCGTCTGTGGAGAAATGGTTGATATTGTACATCTAGTTTGGTTTCACTTCAAATGTTCTGGCATTGTGGGCTTCAGCCATTCAATGTTCTCTTAGAACCTCCCTGGAATAAGTTGCTATTGCCTACTTTTCACCTTAACATTTGTACAGGTTATATGTATTTTATCTTCTGTCACTGACATACTAAGACCACACCTGCTACAGACCGAGGCTTTTCTTGGAGTGTCCTGCAGTAGAGTGCATTAATATACGTGACTGTTCTTTACCAATGCTCGGCTGCTGAGCTCAGATCTGTTGATGGTTCAAAAAACAGCTAGAAAAATCTGTTTTCAGAAGGCTGGATCTTGACGGCAGCAAAACTGGAAAACTCCTGATTTTATTTGCAATAAATACTTTTGAAAGAACTGTTCGTTTTTTACTTTGTGTAAAACTTCACAGCATGGCGATATGCGTTTTTATTAACTTGCTAAGTACACTTCCTTTTTTCTGTGGAAAATGTTTAAAAATCAAAAATACTTTTGTGTCCTTTAGATTTAATTTGTATCTAGGACTTTTGTGTTAACACAACCTCTGCCTGTTCTGCACTCCTACAGTACCACTATCCTGATCAAAGTGGTCCATGTCTCTGAAGTGACCTATATCTTATATTGGTCAAGTAGTCACTTAAATTCTTGACCATATCCTTGATATAAAATGGTCTGAAAAACTTCTGAAATGAGGGATTGCAAGGTATAACACTTCCTCTCACTACGTATTTGTGAAATTTGTGACACTTTCTGTATGATGGTTCCTCCAAGAAATGAAGTGTGTAACATTCTTCTGATGGGAAAAGAAACATTAGTGGAAATGTTTTTTAGATACAGAGATTATCGGACAGGTCTGCATTGTCTCTTTCACCTTTTCAGACGGAAGCTGATCTGGCCAGAAACTTTCCAGGAAAACGTGTTTCCAGCTCCAACAAAGTTCCTGTCCCTCGCTTGCCTGCTAATCCCTCTAGAGTGGACCGCTTGATTGTGGACCAGCTTAGGGAGCACACCAGGGTAAGCCAGCTGTGCTTCAGGTAACATGTATGCCTGCGGGTGGAAAAGGAATTCCAGTTAGTGGACTTGGCTTAAGGGACTTGTAAATATCATGATCGTTTAAGATTTGTTCAATGCAGGTATGACCTGTTTAAAATCATCCATGTTCAGCTTAACAGCAGAAATGTTCCCAGTCTCTTATGGTATACTGCTTGATTTTTGCAAAATGAGGCTGAAAAATCTATTTTTTTGTGTTTAGCAAGTCATTTCAGTTAAGTATTCTCTAGAGCTGAAACTATATGTACGGAAGTGTTTGCGATTAGTGTCTGTGTGTTTCCAGGTCACCACTTTGATTGGGAAGATGGAACGTCTGCGTAGTGCTCCTCTACATGCCAACATATCCACCGCTCTCGATCGCCACCTGGAGGCCATCCACGTCACACAGGCCCGCCGCAAAGATGAGATCTTGAGTGCTGCTAACCGGCATAAACAGAGAACACCAAGACCTAATGTTGAGAAAGGTAGGGGTAGGGCTTGTTCCACTCAACATGCAGTCTGTACCTTATTGTGCAGTCATTCTTTTATTAATAACATGTTGTTTGACATATTGATAGAAGCATGACCACTCCTCCCTGCTACATCACAGTGCACTCTTGTAGTGGAGCAATAGCACAGTGGCTACTGAGCTAACTAGTGTCGTTGGCTTTCTAACTTTCTAAGTTACCAAAGATGTTATTGTTTAATTTGTTTTATTTCATTTTTCAAATGTAGCAGTATGTAGGAACTAGGCAGTTAGACAGTTTCATTTCCTGGGCTGTAAGTGATTTTCTGATACTTTCCTTTTTTTTTTTTTACACATTTATACTAGTTACAGTAATTGGCTAAGAACATACTTTATGAATAGTTACAAACATGATTGTTGGTTTTGGTCCTCAGCACTGAATTGATCCAAGGATCGAATTTATGCATTTGTTTCATGTTTACTGTTCGGTCAGAAGAAATTGGCTGGGGTAATTTAGCAGAAATAGGTTTTGAGGAAAAAGCTGGGAAGATTGCAGCATATCTTACCAATGTAATGCAACGGGGGTTCAGGCGGGCGCCCTTGCCACATTAGGTCGGCCCCCCACCGTCAGGGGCTCGAACCCGGGACTCCCGCGTCACTCAACAGGGACCCAGCCTGGTGAGCCAAAGAGATCTCTCTACAGCCCAGTAGCTGTGGTCCTGCTATCACAGGGAAGGGCGGCGACGTCACCGCTCTGGTAAGCCGGCTCTTGCACACCCTGATGGCTGTATGCGTTACACTGTCCCCCGCTTAACTCGCCGTCTTCGGCAAAGGGCTATCCCACCCCGCTTCTGACACCAATGTAACGCAGCAGGGGTTCAGGCGGGCGCCCTTGCCGCATTAGGTCGGCCCCCCACCGTCGGGGGCTCAAACCCAGGACTCCCGTGTCACTCAAGAGGGACCCAGCCTGGTGAGCCAAAGAGAGATCTCTCTACAGCCCAGGGGCTGTGGTCCTGCTATCACAGGGAAGGGCGGCGACGTCACCGCTCTGGTAAGCCGGCTCTTACACACCCTGATGGCCGTATGCGTTACACTGTCCCCCGCGTAACTTGCCGTCCCCAGCGAAGGGCTATCCCACCCCGCATCTTCCACATTGCGTAGGGGTTCCATACCTCAAGTCTTTACAGAACCTGACTTTTCTGTAAGTCAGGTGTGACATTTGTTTAGTGTGTGTGTAAATAATTTTTCATGGATGTTACAGAGGTTCTCCATCATTTTCCCTAGATGTGTTGAGTGAGGAAGAAAGACAGGAGAGCAGAATTACAGGCTCACTAGGGTTTGTCTTATAATGGCTAACAGGTGTGTGTGTGTATTGGTCAAGGTGTTGAGCAGATTGCAAGGGAGATAAAGCAGCAGCTGTAAGTCCATGAGGAGGAGTGAGAAAGGAAATCTGTGGTAATTTTGTTTTGTATACTTTAGAAACTTTTATATAGTATATTTATGACTCACTAAATAAAGTGCTTGTATATTTATGAAAGGAAATGGGCAATTTTTCATTGATTGTGTTGATTGCAATTAAGACAAAGGCTCCAGAAAGCATGTGTGTAACGGATGTCTATTTGTCTGGTATAATACCGTTTCTGGGCTGACAAAACCTCATTTGTGATTTAACGGACATTAATAGGGGAGAAGGGGTGTCCGTTATCACCTAGTCTGTTAAACTGAGGGTTTACTATTGGAGAACTACAACAGTTAATACAGTTAATTACATAGGGGGTAAATATGTAGTCCACTTCATGCCTGTGATGAAATGTGTCTCGTGTCTTTTCAGATGTTCTTGCCCTTGCAGCTGCGATTAAAGAGCTGACCGCCTTTACACGTAAAGGCCGCACAGCTCTGTGGTGCGCCCTCCAGATGACCCTGCCGAAGAGCGGTGTGGGCCTGCCTGTGCTCCAGGCAGAGCTGGAGAGGGCTCTGCAGGAGCTTTGTAACCAGGAGGAGGGAGAGGTACAGGGGTTTGGGGACAGCAAGGGAGACAAACCACAGGAATTGCAAGAGGAGAAACAGAAGGAGGGGAGTTCAGGGGCAGGCAAGGAGACGCAGGCAAAGCAAGACACAAGAGCATCCCACAAGTAATGAAGACGGGGGTCCTGTGTGTGTCAGATGTGCTTGGGTAGTTTTAGATCAGGGGAAAATCTCATGCTGTTATTGGAATAACAATGCATTAGGTCTGGGGGTCTTCATTCTTCAGGCTGTATGGTCAGTGTTTTGGAATTTCCCATGTTGACATTGTTCATAATTGAGAAGATGTGAATATTTCCCCCCAACTTTTTGAACTGCTTCAAAATGAATTACAAAATCTTTGGTTTCTTCCGTTTTGTTCAAAGTTTTGGATTTTCTTTCCCTCAAGGTGTTATGAGAAGGTTGATTCATTACCTTTTGGTTATTCGCTTGCAAGGGTTTTTTCCGACAGGCCTTTATATGTTCTTGTTTTTGTAGCATTTTTTTACATGCATCGTTTTCTCTAGTACAGCTCCTCTATAGTATTATGTATTGTTTGTATCTTTTTGTTTTGTAAGAGTGGGAACAAAATACTGAAGGAAACCATTAAATGTTTTTTTTTTTAGTGGATTGAAGTAAAGTTCAAGTATAGGCTGTGGCTATAGTCCTGTTTTGCAGGTGCTATCAGTTAGTTAGTTTTAAGGGACTTTAGTTTTCTGTATTAAAAGGGAAGGGCAAATCTCTCTTTTAATAAACTAAATTCTCAACTTTATATATATATATCCAAAGATAGTCCTGTACAGTAGTGTGCAGTTAATCAGTGCTCAACCCACTGTCAGGTGCCAAAAAGAAGAAGAAGAAGTTTGATGTTTTGCTATTAAATGAATGTAACCCCTGGTAACTTTTTGTTTTTAAAGTTTTATTTACTGAAATATTTTAATTTAACTTTGCACTTTTTATTATCCAGTACAAATGTTGAGTAGAATACAGAACTTTTCTCCGTTCCCGATTCATTCACTGAGTGTATTAAGTGAAAATGTTCTTGGATTATTATAAAGTAGCCTAACACAATAGGAAAATATTGAGTATTCAATTATTTTGAAGCACAAGGAGGAAATTAACAGTTCATAAGTGTCAGTTGTTAAAATGGTGTTGTTTTTGATCAACATGTGGTATTACTTTAAATGGTAAAAAGATGATACTCAGGAGTATTTTGACTTTTGGGTACTAATACCTTTTGGTGAGTCAAAATAACGTTATATGTACTTAGTGTGTGCTCATCTATATTTAACATCATTTTAAGGGATTATAAGAAGCATTCAATATTTATTTCTGATTAAGTTGTTTATATAAAATCTTTTTAGTGTAATATTTAATTATTTTCATTGGCCAAACCTTGCTATTAGATCACATTTAACGATTTACTCAGGAAATATTTAATATTTAGTTTTTTGGTTATATGTGCAAGATGTTTTCAGAAAGCTAACTATACTAAGTTACCAAAGCTGTTATTGTTTAACTTGTTATTAATTTGTTTTATTTCAGTTTCAAATGTAGCACTATGTAAGAGGTAGTCAGTTAGCCTTTGTACTTAGGCTTAGACAATCACTAGGTTTCTATGTCTTAAAATAAAATGTGAATGTAGAAAACTACAAAAACAAATTTGAGATAAAGAAAGCACTAAATAATTAACAGGTCAATTTCCTAACGCATTCATTACTCTGTTAAAAACATAATGCTTTAAGAATTGTCTCATGAATTCAGATTTGTTTAAATAAAATTGCTCCAACAGTTGGTATGTGTAGTTTGAACCTATGTCCATCATACAGTATATTTGCAGTTTAAAAATATTAAATATCAGGATTTGGAAGTCTTGTATAAGATTAACAATAAAATAATGCTGAAGTGTTAAATGGGAGGTGTTTCAAATCTTAATTTTGAAAGGAAAGGAGAAAGTGAATTTAGCAAAGGCAAAGGGAGACCTTCTCTGGGTTGAACTGTTATCTGCACTTCAGTTATCCTTAAGAGTCACTTTTATAGATGCGCAAAGCGCTCCTACTGTAATTTTTTTCTTCCTTTTCTGTGGTGATGTAATCACTAGTCTTTTAGTCTTCATTAATTTCAGTTAAGTTATTGTAGTGATGGTAACTTATTCTTTTCATGTTTGTTCCATTATATAATTATTTTATTTTCAAGAAGATATTTTATCTACCTCATTTTGAACATGGGTAAAGGTTAGAATTCTGCAAGACAAATGGTGAACTTTCCAAAAGATAACATCAGGATGTTAAAGAATGAGGTTAGCTCTCTTGCCTCGCTGTTTCAGATCCGTTACTGGCAGTTGTTGAATTGATATGATCTTACCATTCTGATTCAGTTTTGTATCATGATGACTTTGAAATACAGACCTGTGTAAGCAGTGCATAATTGACTGAGCCACTACTGTTTTTTTTCAAAGGAAATAGTTAGGTCAGTCCTTAAAATGAATGCTCTTCTTGTGAATCATATGGGGGTGAACTGGAAATGAATTAAAATCATAGGAATTGTAAGTACTTTAGATTACGGTAAGGGATTCCAAGATGGTCTAAGTTGCCCTTAGTAAAACTGGACTATAATGGTTTGATTATAAGTAAGGTTTACTGTTTTTTTTTTTAGATGTGGTTCTAAATAGAAATGGGCTGAAGTTGTAACAGATTAGAGTTAAGTTGATATAACAAGTTCTGTATTGACTAAAATAAAATGATTTCCTTGTGCTTTTGAAATTAGAATTTGTTTACAATGATTTTTTATAGTAGTTTGTAGGATCAAAGTTTATGAAGTTATATTTGAATGTATGGGTTTATTAGGTCTGTACGTTAGGGTGCTCTGTAATCGGTACCGTCAGATGTGTTTAATTTGCCATTGGAAAGTGTTGTTAATTTTAATCAGTTTGGAGTACTGTAAGTTATTATATGGTAAATGTGCCTTTTAATATTGTTCCTGATTTGGTGAAGAACTGTGAATAATCCATTCCACACTTTTCCATTGACTCAATTTGTTACTTTTATTTAAAACAAAGTTTGTTTCTGTTTTATTATTTTAAGTGGTTCAGAGAAACTGCAGTGGATGTACATTATATAAAATCGATATTTCTCTAGTGTATTAGTTATTTTGTGCATAGGGTTGCCGTGATCAGTGTCTGAAACATTTAAATGCCAGTCTAATAGCAGTCATCATCCCAGTCTGATTACAGATCGACTGGTTTCTTATTTGGAGATACCTTTTAGTTCTGTAAAAATAAGGTACTGCAATGCAGAGAAAACATACAGACACCTTGAAAGTTATTCTTTTTCTTTGTACTTTGTACTTTGTAATTTTTTTCTAGGTTTATTAGATTTCTAAGTTATCCATGTTACTGCTGTTTTTTTAATTTTTAGTAGCAATCCACCTGTTTCATGCATGAAATATATTTCGGCACACTCTTCCATGTTTTATTCAGCAGTTTCTGTCAATGTCAGAAGTCACGCAACTAAAACTTAATATCATTGATTTGGGTATTAAATATGCAGGATATTTCATTAAATTTGTTTACATTCCAACTTGAAAGACATAAAATGTTAAGTTAAAACCTGAGCACCTGCAAACAACAACCTTAAAGATTTAGAAATACTATAGATTTGACATCACATTTTTAATCGGTTATTCATTTATTGTTGGTTATTGGATCGGCGTGTAATGCATTTCACTTAAAGGCACGATGTTCACAAAATAGTCTTGAGTACTGTTGCTCATGGTTTTGTCTTCTGGTAAAGAATCAAGTCCTAACTCTACAGTCCGAGATCAGATTGAGAACAGCCAACCAGTAACCAAGAAAACTTTTTTCAAGTCGCCTAATCAAAAGTGTCAAGTTGATAGAAGGGAGTTTAATTGAAAACTCACCCTTCATTTCCAGAACTCTTTACTACGGTTTCTTCTTCTTTAGAATAATATATGGGGTTATATGAGAAAGCTGTAAATGTTTTATACAACAGTGCTTTTTCATTGTTACCTAGGAAACGTAATTTTAAAAGGTCTATCCTTATTAATGCCAAGGTTTTACCATTATTATGAGGTAGATAGAATAAGAGAATATTTAGTCTTGGTTTTACATGCCGGTGTTGCATACATTAGTGTGATTTTTCCCCATTGGGTGGTCGAAGAAAAAAAAAAGTAATATTTGTTGTCTGGTTTAGGATTCCATGTGAACAATACCATGAGCTCAGGAGTGTTGCCAGAGGAGGCATGAAATGTCATGATTTCTTTTTATGCCACTAGAGATATGATGCGTATAAGACAAATGTTACTGACAGACTTTGACACCTTTATTATTTAGCTTACCCTTCATTTTAATACAGTGGTATTAACCTTAAATTTAGTTTTAGAACTATGCATATAAGTATATGGTTGTACTGTACCCTGTGTTAATGCAGACTGAGAAATTAAATATACTGTGTCATGCCTTTGGTATGTAATTTGAGCCTAAAATTTTCTAGGATCAGGTAACTGGTATTAAGGTCCAAACATTTGTAATGTGAGTGGATAAATATTTGTATGACACTTTAAGCCTTATTGAGTGTTGTGTTCAGCTATTGTGCTGTTCTGAGTCTGGTAAAATGTGGATAAGCTTTACCAGAACATTACTTTTGTTTAATCAGGGGCAGCAATCTAATTTAAAAAATAAAAAGCTTGTACTTGTTATTAAACAGGCAGGGAAAATTATTTAATATACTCTGTGGTTATTCTTTTGTCTTGGGAGTGAACAGTGTCTAAAGAAGGAATTGGATGGTACAGGTTTAGGTACAGTATACAGGAGAGAAGGTAGGTCTTATGCTGTGAATTCTGGGTATTTGTGTTGGGAGGCGAAATTAATGATTTGACATTTATTAATAAATATCGTGGAAGGCCTCGGGTTGCTTGGAATAAGCACACCTTTGCTGAGATTAAATTAGAGCAGATTATTAAATTTGAATAGGAGTGTTAGTATAGCTGTTAAATGTCTCAAAGAATGTAAAGTGCATGGAATACAATAGTCTCAGTTTATTCTTTAGGTTTGAAACAGGGTAGGCTGAAATAAAGCAGGTGCCTCTTCGCACACTTTAAGGTATCCATCATGTTAGATGACAGGCAGTAGCCACTCGTATTGACTGTAAACCATTGAAACCTACTGAGTATTTTAAATCGATTCATGACCATTACAAGGGTCCCTGTAAGACTGGCTTAAAAAATTGAAGAAGCTCCTCAAGGAGACATTTGTTTCTTTAGCCCCTCACAGCCACACTGGAACAGGTATACTTCAGGATAATAAACATTTAATGGCAGGTATTAAACTGGTGTGGAATGTTATGTTATGCAATAAATTTGATAGCAGAAAGTGATTATTATTAACTGTTCTCTCTTTGAGCAGAATTAATTTAAACTTTTTAAAGTCTGGGCTATTCATCTTGTGGCTAAAGGCTGTGCTTTGATGCATCCAGCACCTAATTGCAATATGGATCCTGGTAATTATATCAATACTGAAAGAGCAAGGCAACTCAACTACCGCCAGCATGTGCTTTTTTTTGTTTTTTGTGCAGGAAACAGGAAAGGGTTGCTATTGTTCTAAACACGTTTCAAACTTTGTAGACTCTTGGTTCCAAGAAAATAGTACATTTCTTAACTAAATTCAAGCTTGTGATTCTATTATTGTGGCCAGTGGTTGGCAGGAATTTCAAATTTATGGGAGGAAAAATTGTACCTGTAGTTTGAATCTTTTCTGGGATATGGTGACGAGGAGATTTGGTAAAGTCGCAGGTTTTAGAGCTGAGTTTTAAATAGTGCTCCAGAATTTGTGAATGCAAGGATTAGTGAGGCCAGGTAAAATACACAAGATTGCTATTAACCTTTACCAGATTGTTGAATTCCAGAGCCTTCTGCTTCCTCACCCGTCAGGCCTAAAAGACAATAAAAGGGTCTTAAACTGTTAAGTGTTAGTAGACTGGCTGTGGAGTAGCAGACGTATAAAAGACATTTGGTGTGTATCGCGCTGTTCTGTACCTTACAGTGTAGAATTTGTACTGATGGGATGTATAGTTTTTCCTAAAAAATATTAGTTTGCACAATATTTTATTTACTCCCTTTTTCTGTTTTAGAAATGTGTATTTTTATCCTGTATTATTATCTTTGTATTGTTTTTTTGTGTGTGATATGTGGTTATATACATCACTTGTATGCGTTTGGAAGTTTGCTACATACTGTATTGTGTTAGGTTAGGATTTGCTCTGCAGTGCACGGTGATGGTGGCTTCAGTGTGTTTGAGCAGCGAGTCTTCCCTGGCCTGTGAATCTGTGGAGGGCATTAATGTGGCCCCTTCATTGCCAGTAAACTGTGTGGTAATAGGAGGCTGAAGGGGTAGCTATGGAAATGTCAAGTAAGTGCAGTTAGAAAAGAGAATGTTAGCTGGTTGCCTTTGAGGTAAACCATATATGTCATTAGGCTGTAGGTGGCACTGCAGATCTTGAAAATGGAAAGTTTAGAAAAGCACTTAAAAAGTAGTTTTGACTATTTGCCTGATGACATCATAGTCTTCATGATCTCCTTTTTAAAGGAGCTGTACTGCTTGTAATATGTTGGAACTGATGTGTTTAAAATGCAGCTATTTCAGGAAGACCAGAATCATTTTGCCAAATGTGCCTCATATTATCTAATTAATGGTTTTTAATTCTCTATCGGCTCTTCTTAATTCTTCTCAAGGCCAGATCTCGATTTAGATTGCTTCTTGCGACAGGGAAAGTCTTTGGAATTGTTGCATCAAAAAATATTTAGAAAATTTAATTCACGTCTCCTCTCCATCCTCAACTGTTACTTATCTGAGATTTTGGTCCCAAAGTCTCCCAGCATGGGAGAGGTCTAACGGACACCCCAGCAAGTTACAGGGGCTGCAGCAGTGAAAGACTGGGGGTAGCTTGGCTGTCTGAAGCCCACTCAGACTCCTCAGCCCCTAGAGCAGTTGTGGACCAGGACTCGGGAGACCTTGTTTACGGTCTGATTTAATCTTACAGAACTCGGCTTAAGGGTCGAGCGGTTCCTAGTGAAACCACTCTGGACTCCCAGTAGTCACAGACACTCTGACTTCTCTATGTCCAGAATGTGTATATTCCACTCTTGGAAGTTCAGAGGGGTACACGGCAGGTGTTAGCTGCACCTTTCATGTTCCACTGCAACATGGTATCGTGTCCAGAGAAAGAAGCTTTCAGGCTAAAGGGGCTTTTGAGATGAGTATACAAAATTGCAGCTCCATATGTGCTTTTCTCTCATGAGTATCCTGATTATGTGCAAGGTACGAAAGTGTGCTTTATTCAAAACCATTTTCAATTTGCCAAGTGTTTATTTTGTATTAAACTGTTTTAATATTTGTTTTTAGTTCCCTCCTGAAATTTCAATAATATAGACTTGATCATTTAAGAAATAGCTGTATTTCAGTTTTATGATGATCATTATACAAAATACATTGAAATTACATAAATGTATTCTGAAAGTTGCATATGTGTGAATAAGATTTGTTTTGAAGGAACTTAATCCCATTGTGTGCAAGTATTGAAATACTCTCAGTGTAACATTTTTGTTTCCAGTGTTAACTGCTTGCAGACTGTTCATACAGAAGCTGAATATTAGAACAAATAAAAACCACCTTCATGTTTAGCCCAAAGGTTTATTGAAGCACTTAAGTACAAATCCTTTTGGATAACACTAGCTGTTTGTGATTTCCTGCATGTCCCTTTTCAAACAAATATTGTGAATGTGTCACATAACACTAGACTGAAAATGTTTATAACTATGTACTGAGGAGTGACATGCTGACCTAATGTTGATTTTTTTATTACTCTTTCTCTCCTGTTTCAATGAAGTTCATGATTTGGAAACACTGTGACATTTTTGAAAAGCTAAGTTATTTTCCATGAAGGAATCAAAACCCAATGATGTGTACAGTTACATTTGCTTGTTTGGAGTCTTTTAAAGGCTAGGAAATTTCTGTGTATACTGGAAAAAAATATTTTGAAGAGTCTTTCAAAATACTGAGTTCTGCAGTCTCAATAAAGAATCTTCTTTTGACCTACATTAACTGTGTATCTCGCCATTTCCAAATGTATGAACTAAGTAACGTTTCAGTGGTGCTATAAAGTAATGTAAATTATTCTTGCTTTATAATTTTGTAAATTCCTTAAAGCAATTCAGGGATCTATTATTGTCACAAGTGAAAAGGCACTCCCTACTAAAACAGAAACACATAGTAGGGTTCTGTTCCCGGGGTGTCTCCTGGTTTTCTTCTAACCTGGCTGTCCATCTTACGCAGTGAAGTGATTTAGTAATGATCCCTACTTGCCTTGCTACCCTCTAAGACCTGAACTGGAGACCAGTGTTCTGTTTCTCTGCAACTAAAGGGGAGGGAGGGCCAAGGCAGGTATGTGAAACTTTGGTTATTGTATAGTAAAGAAATGCAATATCCGCGTTACCCTGAAATGTTTTACAAGAAGAATCAAGTATTAATGGATGCAAGTTATCTCAGTAACATTTAGCCACCTGTCACGTCCTGGAAATATTAAAGGTAAGGTGCTCAGAGTACGAGGCTATACAGTAGTCTTTAGATTTATTCATAACCACAGTAAAACTGTAAATTTACCATTATGTAAAATCACTTTTGGCAGAAAGAAAACAAACAAGACATGTATGACTTTCAACATATCTATATAGAAGTGCTGTGAAGGCTATGCATAGATTCACAATGTTCAAATGTATTCATATGTGAGCAATTCTTTGGCTTTGCTAACCTCAGTGAGGTGCTTCCTGTAGCCTTATAATAGGTTCTTAAATTCCACGTAGAATCTCGATCTCCTCCAGGTTATGTGAACTGCACTTGATCAGCTTTCTTCAACTCGTATAATGAATATCAGTGATAACAGCCCCTTGATGTTCTCTCACACTTTGGTAATTAATGCATTCATTGTATTGATGCCCTGTTGTAAAGTCCACCTGTCAAGCTTGACCTTAATAACAAATATATAATAAAAATGTCCTGATCAACCTTTTTTTTAAACATTATGGCACCAGAACTAGAGAAAGCAAACCACCCTAATGACAGAATTTCCTGTTTATTTTAGGAGGCATAACATAATCTTATTCCTGGTCAGGCTGTCCATGTAGGTTCATTTGACTTGGGAGTCAAATGGCTTTTTAAAAAAAAACATGTCTTTGCTGCATACTCCAGATATACAAGGTTAGTCTGAAATCAGTCTTGGAGACATTGTATCCAGAAGACCATTTTTCTGAGTAAAAAATTATTGGGTCTTCTTAGTGGTATAGTAGCTATCTTATCAGCCTTCAACCTCTTGGTGATAGACACCAGTCCTGCTGGGAGGTTTTGTAGATTTTTATTTTTATCCATAGTCTTCACAACTACAGGTACTGAGGTCCATAATTTACAGCTTACAGTAGATCTTCGATTAATTCTCTACCCTTGCCCACAGTGACATGAGAGTTTTGATTCCTGTTTTCACCCTTTTTAATACTCTGTAGCAATCGGTGTAACGTCCAGGAGAATAGTTGAATACAGAAGTTGAAAACAAAAGTTTTATGGAACTACCAGATACCTAAAAAAAGATCTAGGACTAGATTTAAAGCAATTACTTTCAACCTAGTAATATGTTTTGTGTATCTGTGAACAATCACATACTTAGGAATGCTTTTACAGTTCTGCTATTCAGTATTCCTTTTTATACATGTTCATCACATTTGACATCATAAGAATGGGCTGGCTGGGGCAGCAAGATGGAGGACTAGACTTGTAACTGGAAAGCTGTGAGATTTGCTTTACCAGTCAGCAAACTACATCATCTGCTCAGTAAAATGCCCGTCTGTGTACTTGATTACAAATATAAGGCACTGTGGTTAATTTTATTGGCTAAATTAATGATGAATTTTCTTTGTTAATCAACTTTGGTTATACTACTAAGAGTATGAATAAATTTACAGACTACTGTATATCTCTAAACAGAGGGGATTTCAACACTTACATTTTGGACCACCTTTTGACTTATTTGGCATTATGCATAACTTTGAATTGTTTTAATCTAGGCTTTACATTTGGATTGTCTAGTTTCTCTGTGTTCAAACTTAATGTTACTTTTGTTCTACTGCTGTTGGAAATCGTTCATGCTTGTCAAATTAATAAAGCCTGTCCAGCAGTCTACAGTGATTTAAATACTGATTTTGTTTTTAAGTTGTATCTGAGAAGCATTGGGGGGAAAAAGGTTAATGTTGAAAAGATATTAGCACATTACTGACAAATAGTATCAATAATAAAGTTATTACTTTGATGCTACCTGTCTCTTTTGTTCTTGTCGGACTAATGAATTTCTGAATGTTTATATAGAATTGATCTCACTGCTATCCTCTACATGTAGAAATTCATGTAATTTTTGCATGGTGCTTTACAATTTTGCACACAAATGGGACAAAAAAAAGAGTTCTTGAAGGATCTTTGGCTTCAAAACATGCACCTACTATATGTACAATGAAAAGTGAAGTATTATGACCATGAAGGAGGATTTTGTATTTTTGATCAAAAGATCAAGATGAGAGAAAAAAACTTCAAAATGTCCTTTTATTTCTGGCTATTTTTGTGTATGCACATTAAATCATGAAACTACCCAACCTCCCCAACCCCACTCCTAGATTACATTTTCCCAGTGAATTGAGAATTTGTCAACTCCTGTCTTCTGGAGGTTGTTTGCCATTTCTTTGGTTATTTCAGGGTTTTTCTTTACAGTTCTTATTATTTTTCTCTCATCAACTAGTCGTCTCGCTGAGACAACCTGGTCTTAGCCTGTTGCTGATTCCTCCAGTAGTTGTTCTATTTCAGGATACTCTTTGATGTTGATTTTTGTGATGCCAGGTCTCTGCACTGGTTCTAATTGGATGTTTCTTTACTCTTATCTTCATAATTGCTTGTCTTTCCATTGTAGACACTCATGGTTTTGTGCCTTCGAACTCGAGAAGCATAACTACAAAGTCGACTCCAAAGGCTGGAAGCAAGATTATACATTTAGAAGTTTTTTTTTTTCACAATGAATGCAATTTGGAAAACCTGTGCAAGGAGAGAACATCGGTTAGATATTTGTCCCAATACTTCTGAAAGAAAAGCAGAAATTTTATGTACTCGTGCTGTATAAGTACACAGCAAAAACAAAACTCACTTCACTGTCAAAATGCTAACCTATTTTTCAATTTGAGTCATAGCAGAAAAAAAGGCTTTGGGCAAGATGCTCTTCTTCTCTTTAAGTATAAGGCTTGTAGAAACGTAGCTGATCTTACAGGCTAGTTTTGTTGGGAAACGCAAAAATGAGCTTCGACTCATCATGCATTTTTTTTCAGTCTTTATGTACAGGAGAGAAGTAGCATTGCCCTTTATACTTGCAAAACAGGCTTTTTTTTTCTTGGCAAGAACATCCAAAAGACTACAAATGAAAAAGAGGCCATCACACTCCATTTGTTTATTTAAATCTAATAGTACAGTACTTACAGCATGCAAAAAAAAATCCCAAATATGAATCACCTTTGAACCCTCCAACCCTTAATTTAGTGGTGCCAGTCAAATCTGTCTGGGAGATGAGATCAATCTGGAGCAGCTGCAGATGGGGATTCCACACGGACAGGTTGCTCAAGAGAGGACGACACAGGAGCTGTGGTTCAGTAACGTACTGTGCTGATTGTGTGTCAAATAAGGAAAAGATTTATAACGTGCTTGGTCCTGTTCTTAACCCCTGGGGCACTAAAATATTGCCCTTACCTTCAAAAGCTTCAAGAGCTCTCAAAGGCTTTTCTCATGAGTATTGGTGCATTTTGAATGACTATGTCCACCTTTGCTTCTGAAGAAAGGTGTAGCTGCTGTGAAACTATTATAGGCATCAGTTTCTTGCAGGGGGCTGTAATGGATGTTCCGCAGAAGGTACATAAAGGATTTACAGCTTGCTTCCAGATGAGTTGCATATATTGCACTTGCTCTAGTGTCAAGTCCACACACTGAAGTTGAGATTGTAGCCATAATATTCTATCACCTTTCACAGGTCACCCATTCTTAAATTTTGTTTCTGTTTTTTTTAAATTACAGGAACATTTAAGAGGCTTTAAGTATTCACCCTAAGGATACCATTATGTATACCTAACCATCAGAATATTTTTTGTATCTGCAATTATAAATGTTTACATTTACAGTATCTCAGTTTCTCATTGTTTTTTTTAATATTCTAGATAATTGTAAAACACACAAATGCACTCATTTCAATAAGTGTCAAACTTTATTTTCCCCTTGGCCACTTTGGCCGCTGCTGGATTATCAAGGTGTTGCCACACATTGGTTGTGGTGAAGGGGAGTCCCCATTACCTGTAAAATGCTTGATTAGAGAGTCCAGACAAGTGCTATATAAGTGTAAGGAGTTACTAAAATAACTTTTTCACATACCCAAGGCTTTACCAAAATCTCTGTGTATTACTTATAATTTCTTGGGCAGTAATTAGCCTACAAAATGTTTATGAAAATAGCCTCACCTTCCCATTACATCAAAACATATCTAAACAGTCTTCGCTTTCCCAGTGTACTAGTCAGGAAATCTTTTGTCAAAAGTGTTTTATCTCATGGTCCAAGACCAGAAGTGATGCTCATGAGCCAAAGTGATGCCTGAGTAAGTGTAGGCTACCTGAAATCCATCTCATAGGACAGCCATTTACAAATTCAAAAGTATTTTCAGTTGCACTCCAGGATGTGTAATGATTTGTTTGTTAGCCATAAAACATTTCTTACATCAAGAGAAGATGGTTTTCTAATATAGTATACCTCTTTGTTAAAGAGAATGATAGACTAAACATTAATGCTATATAAGCATGTTATAACCATCTATGTATAATATGGGACACACTGTAAATTTTATTAGCTGTTTCTTTGCTGTGGAAATGCAGCTCTGCAACTAATAGCCTCAGGCCCTGAAACTCTTAGAAATTGTTCCCTGAATCAGAAAATAAGATAATGAACAAATTAAATGCACCATCTCTCGAAATTAAATGCCCAGTTTCTTGTCAGAAGGAAACAACTATTAAAGGTCTTTGTTTAAAATTGTTTCACCATAGCAAAGTATCGCAAAACAATATGTGTTTTCCCCAATATGTGGAGCTCACAACAAACGTTCTGGAGGGATGACAGCAGCCAAGGTCAATTAGCCTCCACTGTACTAACAACCATTCCAGATGTCACTTCCTAAATTGAAAAAAAACTTGTAAATGCAATACATTAGTATCCTTCACATGCATGTTTTCTCTTCTCCACCTTTGCTGAAGTCCCTTGCTCACTCCTCATTCTGCATGTGGGTTCCAATCTCCTGATACTACAGTCAGGGGGTAAGCCCTCAGGGAAGCAGAGTGAGCCAAATCTTAGTATGACGTATTTCTCAACACTTTTGAATATATACTGATGGAAAAAAGAAACACAACACCTCCTCCTCCACACTCTGGGCTTCCCGCCTGCGTGGAACAGGCTGAAGAGTGACTTACCTGTGAAGAGGACCTGACGCCACTGCTGATGAGTCCATCACAGCCTCTGTTTGGCCCAAGCCAGTCGGGTGTAATGTCTAGGAGGTGTGAGTAAAGGGCCTCTGACAGGTCGCCTTGCTCTAAGGCAAGCAGCATGGAGCCTAACTGTCCTGTCACTGACATGGGCATTGTGTCTGCCTGCAGTTTCAGCAGCAGTACGGGTGGCAGATCTGAAACGATCTCTCAGATGGACCAGTCTGATGGGTCCTGCCTTGGTGTGGTCACTCGAGGGTGACCTGATCTTGGACAGTCATCTGGCCAGCTGGACTGCTGAAACCTTCTCTGCAGTTGGGATACAGTGGAGTGTCTTACTCCATAGTGTCTGGCAATGCTGGCACATGTCATGCCTGCCTGCAGCATGCCAATTGCCCTCTCCCTTGCTTCTGGTGACATTTGAGGCATTACAGAATGCACAGAAAACCGAGTAAGTGTGGCCTTTTTCTTGCAGTGACCTAAACTTTGAATTAAGGCCTTTTTCAAGGTGACCTGATCAGGCATTGTTCCACCTGGACCTCGTTGCAAAAGTGTACCTAACGAGCTTTCATGTGATTGGGAGGTTGCAATGCTTCACTGCACAAGTTGTATTGCTGGTCAGAGGGCTTAAAACAAATTGACAACTTTGTGTGAAAGTACATAAGCTACAACTGTAGTATTCTCATTCCAGAAAATGTTACGTTTTTTTTTCCCCCCAGCAGTACTATGTTATTGCTCATAGAAGCAGTCTTTCCTGCTGAGCAAAACAGATGTAAGTGCCCATGTGAAAGGCTGTAGCCATACGTACTGTAGGCAGGTGAGTCTGAGCTGCAAGGAAGTGAGAATTTTAAACACCTTGGGATGGACCTGGGATGGATGAGTGGGGTGTTGGAACACAAGGGTTCAGCAGTCTCCCCAGTCCCTCAGCAGGACTCGAGCTATTGGGTGAAATGTAGACATTCAGAAAGCAGTCCAGGCTTAAGAGAGAGGAGATGCAGTGGATTATTGGAGATCAATTGGTGGATAGTGCTTGTGTTGAAGCTGATTGGACAGTGGAATGTGTTCAAAAACCTGAAGCTGAGTTCTGTTAGATTTAAATGAGACCTTGCCCTACAATCATTTTCCAAAAAGTGCTCACCTGCCTCTCGAAAAGAAAATATAAAGATGTTCTTTGGACCAGGCTCCTTCCTGTGACAATTAGGATTTTGCACCCTAATTTTCTGGTCGCTTTTGAATTGTTTCCTTTAGTGTTCTCACTAGTGTGGTGAAGACCACATCCACACCTTTCACTGTACAGATTTTGATTTTTTTTTTAATCAATAAGCTGTCCAGTTTGTATTGTCTTGAGAAGTATCTCATGACGGAAGGTTAGATGTGCTGGAGGAATGTAGAAATGTGCTGAATCACTGGAATGCTCCAATTCCTGGCAGCTGAGAGAGGAAAGACAGCAAGGATAGAGTCACTACACAGCTTGTCCTTCCCTGCCCTGGAGGGGAGTCCAGTTACACCACCATACACACAAACAACTTTACTTTAGCCGACACGGATCCACGGCAGCCCTCTCCAGTATATCAGGACAACTGCCTACCTTTCTTGCAGTAGCGATGATGAGAACTTCTTTCCCTCAGAAAGCCA